TTCCGATCACTCATGCCATTCATCTCTGCAGAGGGAGGTGGGTGGCGGTGTAGACAGAAGCATCCTGGTGGGTTTGGGTTTTTTTTGGAAGTAATCCCATAAGCAGTTTCTAGCAAATAGGGCCATTCATTCAGTAAAGTAATGCAGGTACCTTGCAGGTATCTGTAATCCTAATTCGTTGTTCTTCCCAGGCTACAGAAATTTTGTTTCTTGTCCTCGCATCTTGGGGTGGCAGATAGGTGTACTGCTTCCTTCTAACAGGGCTAAACAGAGAGACCTGTGTGCTCTCTAGCACCAGCAATGCTTTTGTGATGCATCTGAGTAGAGGGAAAGCTCCTCAGTTCTTTCTGTCAGTGAGTGAACTGCAGTCACTGGCCCTGGAGTGAAACAACGGTTTTCCAGAGGCTCGGTTGGTCACTTGGGGTTTGGTTGGTTTTTGTTTTTTGAGATCCGTGTGCCCAGTTTGTTAGGAAGAACGAGGATTTTACTTCAGTATACTTGTTTCCCCAGACTCAGCATCACGGCTGAGCAGCACTGGTGTCGTGGTGTGGATGTTTACCTGTACATTTCTGCACTTGAGCAGAGAGATGGAGGGGCTGGGGACTCAGGGCAGAGGGATACAGGGTTTTTCAGCGCTCCAAGCAATCTTTCTGGGATCTGCAGGGAGTTCATTTGCTGGAGCCTGAAGGGAAGCCCTTGCCCTTCATTTCCAAAGTGACCTGACTAATGAATGAAACCTAGAAATACCTATGCTTTGGGGGCTCAGAGGGTACATATAGGAGTAGCGGAGCCCGTAAGATTTCTAACTGTGCAGGTCTCACATGGCTGATTTCTCATAGCTATATGCTTTAGACTGCTCTCTCCTTACTCCCCTTGCGCCTCTCCCAGCACACTCTGTCCAGCAACTTTCCATTACAGGAAACATCTGCTGGGAGGCAGGGCTGAGCGTGGGTTACTGCAGGGCATTGGCCGACAGAATTACCCAGCTACAGTAACTTAAAGCATGTGCAAGTCATTTTGGTATCTTCCCCACCCGCTCCTTCCATAAGAAATGTTAACAAAGACTGAAGCTGCCTTTCAGAGCAGAGAAGGGACTAGCGAGGAGAGCCTGGGGCAGGCATTGAAGGAATAAGAATAACTGCTTTTCTGGTTTCAAAGGTAGTGGTGGGGGAAGCAGCAGAAATCTGAGCTGTTTACCGTCCTGTTCAGTCCTGGAAACTGCAGCTAGATCTGTGAATTACAGCTGGTCCGGTGGGGTCCTGGCAGTCGGAGCTATTTCAGTTGCTAGCTCTGGCAGTCCTGGGCATCAGGCCTCGATCGGGAGTTGCAGATGCCTTGCACAGACCTGCCTGGGACTGCTCAGGCTGTTGGCACTTTTGCAGTACTTCTTTGAGATGCCCACAGCAAGAAGCTGTTAAGACTGGAGCAGAAGAGCACAAAGGTTGCCCGCCAGCACGCTTACCCTAATGAGCCACTTTTTCAAAGTCCTCTGGAGGGCGAATCCTCTCTCAGATCTACAGAGGCTGCTAGGGCAGATGACCTGAATGTGAGCAGGAAAATAGGGGAAGGCACGTAAACTCCTGCCAAGCTGCTGTATCTCTTTCGACTTTGAATCTAAACAAGAAGCGGTGACAGCGGGAACAGGAAAAGCAGAGTTTGAGAACACGGGGAGCTGTGCAAGTGCTGAGGGAACGGTATGGATTCCTTGCTGGAGTGCGGGGCTCTCTGGGATCTTGTGCTGGATCAAGAACTGCCTTGTCTGCTGTGGGAGCTGGAGGGGCTTGTCGACTTATCGCAAGAAAATGTCAGCCATGGATCAGATGAAATTCCAGCTGTGAGTGTCTCTATACTGAACTGTTTGTCACTGTAACAGATGTTCTGGTGCTAAGCAGATTCGTCTGTTGTAGTACAGGTTTTAGACAGGTCAGAACATCCCTTACTGCGGGGAAGGGAGGGGAGTGCCCCTCCACATGGAAACTGTACTGTTAAGTTGGGTTGCTCTAATGCATTGAACCCAAAGCTCAGAGCTGATTATAATCTCTGTTCCCCCCTCCTTTCCCATCTTGTCTGCTTGTCCCAGGAAATCTTGGGCTTGGGCTCTTGCTGGAGCCCATCTCTGACCAAGATCTTTTCCAGATGTTCAGGCTAGAAGTTTGGTAAGTAAAATTCATATTTCTGTCATCTGCTTGTTAGGAGGTTTTATTCACAAGTAAGATACTTTCCTTTAGGCCCACAGGACTGGAGCAAATGTGTGAAGTGCTGAGTCGATGTTAAAAAATATTGTTTCTAGTTTGTTGAATTGGAGTGAGGAAAAGGGAATGCTTTTGGGGGGCAGGGGCTTGTCTGTGTTTCCTTCTTTGATTTGACAGCATTTGACAATTTAGTAAGACTAATGCTAAATAAACTTCATATTCCTCCCACCCTTGTGACCCCACCAACACCATTCTCAAACAGAAGCGACCTTCTATAATCACTCTGATTTTTGGGGCCCTTGCTGGGATGCTCTGAGCTGTGCCCACCGTTCTGCTTTGGGAGATTTGTGTTGTGCAGCTGGAAGAGATAGGAGAGGGTTATTGAGAGGAAATGGAGATAGGGAAGGAAGAGTTGGTACCCCAGGTTGCCTCATGTTCCGTACATTTGTGGGAGAAAGAACATGATAGATTAGAAGGGAGCTGTGGACCTCCTGAATTTGCAACTGCCTCTATTTCAGCCAACTCTGCTTTCAAAAGGTGTTCTGGCTATTATGAGCAGCTGTAAGCATGGGCATGGTGTGTAGGAAGTGGTCTAAGCAGACAGAGTCACATTATAGTTTACTAAACACCAGAGAGAAAGCAGCTCCTGGTCTCCCTCCAGCCAACAGCACTGTTTTCTCCGAGGCCTTCCATGAGGCCAAGTGTCTGCAGAATAAGCGTAAAACGTGGCTGAGTCCCTGTGAGGGCCTCTTTGAGCCCCACAAAAATGTTCTCACAATACCAGCGGGTGGTTGTGTGTTCACTGTCTGCGAGGTGGAGCACTTGATGGAGAGCAGAATGGGGATGACTGCATTATCCCTGAGCTTTTGATGACAGTGATCGTTCAAGTTCCTCTGGTGGGGCTGCAGCTGTACTAAGGGGCCTATTTTCTGGGGTTGCTGCACTGTTCCTGGGAGAGCTGGGGATGGGCGGCTAACGGATGCATTGCAAACAGAGCATGTGCCATACCTTGTACAGTCTAGGATTGCAGGAAAAGAGATTTTTCCTGCAGCCACAGCTTCCATGCAATTCCAATTTGCTACCTAGCAGATACGGGTATAGCCCTTCTACTCTGTACTTGCTCTTTGAAATCAGGTTCTCCTCTTCTTCTCACATAATGCACTAAATCCCAAATCCTCCCATCTGTGTGTCTGCTGTGATGGGAGCTCCTAGCCTCATGCTTTGTAAGTGCATCTGATCCCGCTTCTCCTTACCAAGGTGTTCTGTTTTCCCACTCCATTTCTCTGTACTCATGCCTGCCCCTCTTCTTAACAGGCACTCTGTTATTTGCAGGTGTTGAGTCCAACATACAAACAACGGAATGAAGATTTCAGGAAACTCTTCAAACAGCTTCCTGACACGGAACGCCTCATCGTAGGTAAGGTCAGCCCCTTGGTGCAGTGGTCTGTTGTGCTGGTCCATGGTTTGGGGAGGAAATCCAGCACACGTGCATGCAGCTTTTTCTTCTTCAAAGTGATTGTGCCACCAAGGAACAAGCCCATTGTGTCTTTTCTTGTGCACGGGCAGAACCCTTCCTCACCATTTCTAATCTGTTTCATTTGTTTTGCTTCAGGGAGAGCAATGCTGATTTCTATCAGCTACAGCTCTCTTCCCTCATGATTTGAGGAGCACGTTTTCCTCCACAGTGCTCCCCGAAACCTGACAGTGTGTTAATATTTGAGCTCTTTTCTCATTTGGTCAGGGTTGTGTCTCAACATGCATCCCACTGAGCTTCTCTTTTTTTCTAACATCCCCAGTGCTCCCTACTCACACATGACTGCCCTTCCCATATCTACTTAGGCTTTGGCCTTGCAGCTGGTTAGTAGACTGCCTAGTGCATTGCATCTGTTCTGTTATCTTATGTAACTGGTGATCTCATACCATGTCTCATACTGTTGAAAGATGCACAATCTAGCAGAGGAAGAGAAATTGTTTAAGATGCCTAAACTGGGAGAGAAATGAACAATGACACTAGAAGGTGAAAAGGAAAAGACAGATTAAAATAATACATAAAATAAATAGTAAATAATACATAAAATAAATAGCACATAGGATGCTACGGAATGACCAGCTAATAAGGCAAGATCATCAGTCAGTAAGAGAGATTGTCTGCGACATGCCCGTGGGAGGGATCATAACCTAGTGGACAGAGTAGCAGCTGTGGTTCATTTCTGGCTCTGCCTTTGACTTTCTGCGATAGTTTTGTGTTGAGTAGCTTCTTTTCTTGATGCTGCTGCTTATCTTCACCTTTAGGCTGTCCTGTCTTCTGGTTTTGGTGCTTCTAAATTATCATCTGTTGTCCACCCACAGATTACTCATGTGCGCTACAAAGAGACATTCTCCTGCAGGGCCGCCTCTACCTCTCTGAAAACTGGATTTGCTTTTACAGCAACATCTTCCGTTGGGAGACACTGGTAAGTCTTTCAGACTGCCGCATTGAGCATGTGTTTTATGTCAGCTTATTTGCTGACATTGCTTTAAAAGCACTCTTTCCATTGTCTTTTTCATCAGTGTCTCTCTTTACCTGTGTTCTTTTTCTGCCTTCCCCTTTCTGCATGGCTCTGACTGTAGCTGACTGTACGCTTGAAGGATATCTGCTCGATGACCAAGGAAAAAACAGCACGGCTCATTCCTAATGCCATCCAAGTTTGCACTGACACTGAAAAGGTACATCCTTGAAGCCTCCACCTCTGGGGCCACCCCTTAAGGCTGTCTGGGGCAGGGGAATATGTGTGTGTCGTAGGGTTTTTCCAAACTGACTGCTTGTGCTACTTGGGGCCTGGGAGGAAGCACCAAGGGAAGAGGGCTGGGTGCAGAGCTTCCACAGACCTTGGGCTGAGTCTGGAACATACGTGGCTCATATGTGGGGTTTGGGGCCAGGCAGGAGATCTGGGTTATATAGTAGCGTATCTCTAACAGAACTGTTTCTGTGCTCGGACTCACTCTCTTGGGTGAGAGGCACTCAGCCTCTCTGTGAGGCCTCCGTGAGCTTCAGTCTGTGCCCAAGAACTGAGCAGCTGTGCTGTGTGGCTTGCTCAGTCCGTCTGTGAACTGTAGCTGGAAAGCGATCCAAAAGGATCACTCTCCTCCTTCCCTTTTTCGGGCCTTTTCTGAACTGATTTTTCTCTCCATCTCTTCCCATTTAGCACTTTTTTACTTCCTTTGGGGCTCGAGACAGGACGTACATGATGATGTTCAGACTCTGGCAGAATGCTCTCCTTGACAAGGTACACAGACCAGCACCTGAACGTTGGGGTGGGATGAAAGGGAGGTGATGAATATATGCAGGAGCATAATACCTGTACTAATCTATATGCATAAAAAGATGTAGGGACAGTAAGCACATGTGTTTATGCAGAGCAGGTACATAACTGCAAGCGCAATTCTCTCTTTTTGCATGGAATTCTGTGTACACACAGTAGATGCCGCTTTTCCTCTGCTGAGGTGTGGAAGCGTGTGCCGCAGGAAGGAGTTTTTTTGAGGTCTGTGATTCAAGGGAAACAGCCCAGAAGAAAGCAGTTCAAAATGCAACAGAAATAGCTCACTGCACAGGCAAAGCTCTTACTAAGCCTGTGCTTCAGAAGTGTAGAGTTGAAGATAGGACAGAAAAAGAGCATGTGTTCAGGGCATCCCAAACCCAAACAGGAACAATGGTGGACGTGGGGTGCGCTGGGTAAGGGCTCAGTGGGTTGGATTTTAAAATAAAGCAGGGATGTGCACCTGCTATGCCAGAGGCCCCATATGTCCTATATTTGATCTGAGTATCTGTTCTGCAGTCCATTGAGTATTTTTGGCCTCGCTGCAGGAGTAAGACTCATGAACTGATGTTACAGTGCTACTAGCATTTCGAGATGTCCTGGCTCAAGCACCCGGAATACCCTGTCCTGAAAATCGGGGTAGTATTTAGTATGCAAAAGGATCACTTTGCATTGGGCAGCTTGTGTTGCTGCCATATGCTGTAATTTGATCAGCCTTCTGAAGTTCCTAACAAAATTCAGAGCCCTTGGTTTCAAGGTCAAAGCAAATGGGAACTGAGACGTGGAGTGATAGAGACAGAAACACTTTCAGAGCTCTTTTTCCAAATGTAAGATCCGTGCCGAACAGGAGAGAGGGAGAAAGAACCTAGTCCATTTTTCCTGCTAAGACATGTGAATTGGAGTGCATGTGGGAAGAGTGTGAAACAGACATCTTTGTGATAAAAGTTTCTCATTAGAGGCTTTTTCCCCATGCTTTTGATTGCTGCTTTTGGGAGCTAGATTAAAAATTTCCTGCCTTATTTCATGCAGTAGCTTTGGAAAGAAGTTCAAGCCAGCAACTCAGGAAAAAGTTCACTAGATTTGTTTTCCCTCATTACCAAGAAGTCTTTGTCAGTGGTCATAAATTTCTCATGAGTAAAAATTCATCCCCTTTCATCCCCCACATGTTTAAATCACAAGTTCTCCTGCCCCATTTCATAAGAACCTCGGAACGCAGTCATATGGTGATCAACTGACTTGCATCCCTAAAAAGCTGGGCTTTTGTGAACGGTCTTGATAATTCATTTTCTCTTATTAGCTGGAAGTATATACAAGCTTTTCACAATAGTAGCTAGTGAGACAAACTCTTTTTGATTTTAAAGTGCAACAGGAAATGTTATTCGTTGTTGCTGTTTTAGATCCTTTTCCCTGCAGCCGTAATTCTTTAGGCAGCTTTAACTTAAACTTGGAGGGGAAAAAACCTCATAAGGCGTTGGGGTTTGGTATAGTAGGAGACATTAAATGGAGGCACAACAGAAGAGTCAGGAAAACACATGTGGAGGGAAATGAAGGTTTACTGCTTACATTACTACATGCACAGCATTGTAATAGCGGGAAATATCATTTCGTGTGCTGCTCTGGGTGTAGCCTCATGTTGGGTTTCTGATAGTCTTAAGTAACATGAGATTGTGGCATGGAAAAATAACAAAGTTAGATTTTAGGGCAGAACCTGGGCGAACAGTGAAGGCTTACTTGACGAAAGGACCTCTTACTGCTTGATTGGGGCAATCTCTAAACCAGCTTTGCCTAACAATATAAGGATACATAAGCCCACAGCCCTTAGCCAGCATGGAGCTGCGGCAGCCGGCCAATAACACACAATCCACCTTGTAGCATCACTGGAATTCAGAAGAGGTGAGCCCATCGTAAGGCTCTCACTGCCCATCCAGGGCTGTGTCAGTATCTCTCACTTCTCCTTTCAGGGCAAGGAATGGTAGTTCCCGACAGTGGTAGTTCTAAACATTCATCATATTTTAGTATTCTCAGGTGAAATGTGTGCTGTTCTCTGTTCCCTCTTTTAGCCTCTCTGTCCAAAGGAGCTCTGGCACTTTGTCCACCAGTGTTACGGGAACGAGCTGGGTCTGACCAGTGATGATGAAGACTATGTGCCTCCTGATGATGACTTCAACACAATGGGGTGAGTGAGGAGGAGCAAAATATGCCTGTGATGAAGAAGATGGCCTCACGAGAGCAGGAGTCCTGATATATTGCATACCTCAAACTGCACATTGTCCCTGTTGAGAGATTCTGGGTTTCTGGCCAAATGTTTGCCCTTCAGCGTGTAATGTCTAAAAAGCTGAAAGCGTACCGTTTCCTCATGGCAGTCGGTAGGGACTGAAATGCCTGCTTCTCTGCTTGCTGAGCTAGATGAGCGATTCTGTAAATGCCAAAGCATCCCAGTCACAAGGCCAGTCAGTGTGTTACATGGTCAGAAAGGGCTGATGCTTGTCAGTCTGTGTATAAACACTTGAAAAATTTGGGCTTGATCTTCCCTGCACTGAGCCATTTCTGCTTCCGGTCAGACTGGAAACTTCATGGAAGTATTCTTACTTGCTCTGTGTGTCCAGTTGTAGCTGTACTGAGAGGGGTAAGCATAAAAACCTGTGTTCTCTGTGGCGTCTCAGCTACTGTGAAGAAATCCCCGTGGAAGAGAATGAAGTCAACGACAGCTCCTCAAAAAGCAGCATGGAGGCCAAGCCAGAAGCTAGCCCTCAGCTGCCAAAGAAATCTGTCACTGCCAGCACACTGACATCTACAGGAAGCAGTGAAGCGCCAGCCTCGGTGAGTGTTCTTCCTCCAGGGCAGTGGAGCGGTAATCCTTTTATCTGGGATCCAGCTGGTAGTCCTTGAATGTACAAGGTAACTGTTTACCCTGCAGCTGACCACAGTCCTCGAGTCAGTGATATCTGTGAGCATGACATTTGCGCAAGAAAAAGTGAGCAAAGCGTGGCTTTCCTAAAAGCCAGTAAATTGGGACTCTCAGCAGTAAAGGCATTTTCCTTTCTCTACGTTTGGATGAAAAGAAATGGAGTGTTGGAGATAAAAGGGTTATAATTTCTTCTCTGACTTGAGTTATTCCCTAGGAAACAGTGTGTGTCCTCACAGTATTACATCAGAGCAGACCTTGTTTAGATATAACCGCACATTTTCCTAGCTGTACAGGGCTTGTTCAGTGGCAAATCCAGTACTGTTTGTGTGCTTGTCTGAACAAACAAAAAGCCTTGTGTATGTCCCAAGCTTGAACTGTGTGTGGTCCTTTGAGAGGAGGCGATCTAATTTGTCCGTGTGTTTTACAAACACCGTATGGTAACCTACCTCCTCTCTATATATTGTTTAATTTCCAGACATGTCACAGCCAAATGTTCAAAGGTATGAAAGTTGGCCCACAGATGTAAAGTTTTCAGAAATAAGGCCCAATTTCCAGGTGCTGATCTTGCCCTCGTTATGCTCTCTTCTTGCTGCAGTTTGATGGAGTGCTACCAGAAGAGGAGGAGGCAGTGGCAGAGAGTCCTGTGGAAAAAGACCTTGGCATTGCAAATATCATGGGAGAGAAGATAGAGATCATTGGCCCTGTGAACTCCCCTTCCCTAGACTTCAATGACAACGAAGATATTCCCACTGAGCTCAGTGACTCATCAGAGACCCATGATGAAGGTATGCAGGGAAGGGCCTTTCCATCGGTGTTGTTTTCAGCCTTCTCCTGTCCTTTCCAGTGAGGGACTGGATCACCAAATGTTGAATTCCTTTTCTGTACCCTAAGAGTTCAGAAGATGCAAAGAATTCCCATCCTGGGCCGCAGATGGCAAATGTATGGGATATTTGGAAGGATGTCCCTAAAATAGCTATGTAGTTAATTACCCCTTCGGCCGTTCCAACTATTGTCCTTGGATCAGTGGAGGAAAAGAGTTATAAGTACCTCCTTTGGGTTCCTTCTTTCCAAAGTAAAATACTAAGGTTCTGGTACTGTGAAAGCACAGCCTCTGATACTGGCATGGAGGATCGTGGCTGGGGCTTACGGGCTTGTTTCCCCACAGGGGAAGTCCAGGCCTTTTACGAGGATCTGAACGGCCGTCAGTATGTGAATGAAGTGTTCAACTTCAGCGTGGACAAACTGTACGACTTGCTTTTCACGGACTCTCAGTTCCAGAGGGACTTCATGGAACAGCGCCGGTTCTCTGGTAAGCTGCTGCTGGCAAAGCCCAGTCGCTGACAGAGGCTGCGTTTCCTGCGAGGTACAGAGGCCTGTAGAGAAGGAAGGTCTCAGCGCATGCCTTGAAGGTGTACCTTTGCCTGGTGATGAGAGGGATTTGGTAATATTCTGAGCAGATCTTGGGACAGCTGTTGTCTGTACTGAGAGTAATCAAAAGCAGATAGAACCGGCCTTGTTTGGCTACCTAGTTTTGTTTTCTAAGAGCCAGATCTAAGTTTATGGAAGCAGCAGACTCTCTTATTTTTTAACATCAGCTAAGGCCTGATCCTGTGTTCAAGGCTTAACAGTGTGAGGAAAAAGCTCTTCTAGCTCCACACCAGACACTGGTGTGGGCTATGCAGTTGACGATGCAGAGAGTAGAATGCTGTAGTCCTCCTTTCCCAGTAACTGTAGGTTTGCTGAAGGAGATGTTTCTCCAGCCTTTCCCGGCACTTGAAAGAGGGGAAAATACTCACATTTAGTACAGGAGACCGACCTTTTGCACTCAGTTGAGCTCTAGTGCTTCTGCAGCCAAGCTCTCCAAGGGGAAGGAAATACTGCCCTGAGCTTGGTTATAGGGTTATGCCTTTCCTTAGGGAACTGACCTGAGATCCCTGTCCAGTTACGTGAGTGGAATATTGTTTTGTCCTCTCAGATATTATCTTTCATCCCTGGAAGAAGGAAGAAAATGGCAATCAGACTAGAGTGATCTTGTATACCATTACCCTCACCAACCCTCTGGCCCCCAAAACTGCCACTGTCACTGAGACGCAGGTATGTGAAATGGTGTAATGCTTTGTAGAAACAGATCTGTTATTTATTTTCTTGTCTTGGGCATGCTGCTTTGCATGTTTTCATTCTCCCTATCCATTTTCCTTTACGCGTTTTGTTTTGGTTTTTTTTTTTTTTTTTGTATTAACTTGCTACCCAGTGTCGCTGCAAATGTGAATAGCTAATCTTACACTTGCACTGGATTGCATTGCAAGGAAAGGACCGTAAGTTTTCCAGCAAAAGCAGATGAGTTTGTAAACAAGCCAGCGCCTTCTGACAATGGTGTGCGTCACCCATACTGGTGTTTTTTGAGCTGTGGTCAGTCCAGCAGTTGTTACTTACAAGCAGGGCACAAGAAAGTCAGACACTGTCTGGCCAGTCCTTCTCACAGGTCTACGTAGAGAAGTCCAGACTTCTTTATGACTGGTGAGGACATTTAGCTGACCTGTTTAAAAAGGTAAAAAAGGAGAGCATCTGCAGTGCCCCAGGAAGAGCCAGGCTAGCTGTGTCTAGTAGGGGCTGCAGCTAGAGAGGGAGGAAAGGTCTCCCTCAGTGTCTAGCGATATGTTTAAGTGGCCAAACAGTAAATATTATGAGTTAGCTTGAGGGAATACTAAGAGGGAGCCAAGAAAAGATGGGGTGCCTGAGCATTCAGGGAGAGGAGAATCCCAGCGGCAAGGTGTACCTTGTAAGGATGGGATGAAGCGTGCTGTTCAGAAGCAAAGACTGTGCAGGGAAGATAAGAAAAGGGGAGAGCAAAGTGATGGGCAAAGGAAACGGTATACTTTGAGGAAGCAAGGACGTGGCCTATTTTATTCTGAGTTTGGGGTGAACTGCTGAGGGGCACTTTGCTGTGTCTTCGCTCCAGAGGTAAGTGGAAATAGTCTGTAAGAAAAGCCACACTTTGTATATGGATCTTCAGTTAATTGTGTGTGTCCCCTTCGTAAGGTTTGTTCCGGGGCAAAGAAAGCAAGCAGATCAGAAGCACTTAAAAGAAGTAATTGACATGTTTTTATGGTGTTTAGAATCGCAGAACAATGTACGCCAGGAAGGACCTCTGGTCAAGGCAGGGCCACCTCTGATTTTAGGTCAGGTTGCTCTCCGACAAGCCAGACATCAGTTTAATGAGAAGAGGAAACACTTGGAAAGGTCCCAAAAATCTGGTCCTCCTGTGGCAGAGTATGTAACTGTCTCTGACACAAAATGCTGGAGGTTGAGCTGCTGGAACTGAATGCCCCTTTTGAATTATGCCTTTGGGAAACATCTGAGTGAAATACTTGGTTTCCTCGAGCGTGCCCTCCCTTAACGGTGAGCTGTTCACAGAAAAATTGCAGAGATGGGGCCTGGGCATGGGTGTGGTCTCTTCTGTGTGGTAGAGCTGTTTTTGTAAAGTGCTAGTAAAGGTGCCAGACTATCAAAGCCGTGTTCTAACCAGACTAATAGTTGCCTTGCATGCTGTCTTTTATGCAGACAATGTACAAAGCCAGCCAAGAAAGCGAGTGCTATGTCATAGATGCAGAGGTGCTAACTCACGACGTCCCCTACCATGATTATTTCTACACCATTAACCGCTATACGTTGACTCGTGTTGCCAGAAACAAAAGCCGACTCAGGTACACTTCTTGCTGGATGAATAGCTTTACTGACGATCAAAAGTCACTTTTGGGGGGGGGGAGGAGTTCTGTTGTTTGGTGTGTTAGAAGGGGTTGGGGAGAACTTAGCCTTATTTCTTTGTCCTGTTGCCAGAACACTCCTATCACAGAGTTACTGTAGGGGCAGCTGCCTACTGGGGTGACATCGAGCAAACAGTAGACCGGATGCAGGAGTTACAGCTGGCTCAGGGAGAGGATTTAGACTTTTCTTGCCCCTTTCTTGGAAGCAGTGGTTTGCAGAGCCAGTTGTCTCTCGCAATCAACTATGTGTGATAAGCAACAGGATGTACTTCCAGGGACTGTGCCTCTGGGACACATTGTGGGGACAAGCAGAGGAATTTGGTACCAGGCAAAGCTGTAGGCTTTTGTGTTTGACTTAGATACGTAATCTAAGTGTCTGCCTGCCGCATGGCCGAAGGTCTCGGGAGTGCTCTCAGGGGAGGCTCTCTTGAGGCCTTCCTGCCACTGCCTTTGGAAGGACTTTTCATGCAACGCTTCTCGAGAAACATGAAGGGCTGAGACCATTCCAGAAATAACAGTGTGCATGATTATTTCTCATATTTACATTGACAAATTGACATCACCCTCAGGAAGCAAAACTGGGAGAATGACTTCCCTTTCTTCACATAGGGTTTCCACAGAGCTACGTTACAGGAAGCAGCCTTGGGGGCTGGTGAAATCCTTCATTGAGAAGAATTTTTGGAGCGGCCTAGAAGATTATTTCCGACATTTGGGTAAGAGTGGCAATGACTGGATCTGCGATAATGACCCACGAATGAAGTGGCGCCTTCCATAGTTTACGCATGCCTCCCTGCAAGCGGGCAGCATGGCAGTGCGATAGCTGCTGGGGATCGGGCCTCGGAGTGGCTTATGAAAGGGGCAAACCGATGTTATTGCCACAGCGTCGGTAGCACTTGCTGAAATTAATCAGGTCATCAAATCCTGCTCTCTGGCAGGAGCGCAGGCAGTTTGGGGTCAGAGTTTGGCAAAAGGTGTAAGGGATGTGTAGTGTGTCCTCTGGCATGGGCCTCCTAGACCCTGCCAACTTGTTTGGCCCAGTAGCTGTGCCATTAGAGGGCTTAAGTCTGTATCTCTGCAAGGCCAGTGCCGCTTCCAGTAAATGCTTTCCCTCACCATCTCTGCAGAGAGTGAACTGACCAAAACCGAGAGCACGTACCTGGCTGAGGTCCACAGACAATCCCCCAAAGAGAAAGTAAGCAAGCAATCGACGGTGCGCCGCAGGAAACGGGCCCATGCCCATCTGCGGGTGCCACACTTGGAGGAGGTGCTGAGTCCCGTCACCACCCCCACGGATGAGGAGGTTGCGCATCGAATCAAGCATGTGGCAGGTGAGGAACTGCAGACCCCTCACGCTTGGGGATGGACAGCTGGGTACCTCTGGTGAAAAACTGGAGCTTTGCATGTGGAGGGTTAACAGGAAGAGGGACCAATGCTTTCCAGAGCAGGGAGGATGTATTACAGTTGTTTGAGTGAGATGGAGGGGTGGGTAGAGGGAAAATGGTTGCCCTCCCCCAGAGGACAGCATTTCCTAGCCTAAACTCATATGTTTCCTCAGGTTCCACTCAGACACGGCACATTCCTGAGGAGAGCCCCAGCGGTTTCCACCTGCAGAGTGTCTCTAAGCTGCTCCTTGTCATCAGTTTTGTGTAAGTGATTTTTTAGCTTTCCCTCACAGCCAGCTTTTAACAACTTCTTTCGTGTTTCTGGTGTTCTGTGCTCCCCTGTGCTGTTTTTTTCTTTCTCATGTTCCTCTCTGGTCCCAAATTTTGCGCAGCACAGAGGAGAGAAAAGCAATGACAAGCAGAAAAGAATGAATTAAAATTTCCCCCAAATGCCCCATCAACTGTTTTGTCTGGCTTGATCCCGGCTTTTGCTAGTACTTAGCTGGCCCCTTATCTGGCTCTGTAGGTTCTGGATCTTTTTTTATCAAAGTCTCTCCTTTCCCCTCAGTTTTGACCTTGTTTTAACCAAACACGGGCTTCGCAGACCTGCATATTTCTGGGAGTCCTAAATGCAGGTCAGCTATACTGTCTGGGGGACCGGCAATGTTGTGCCAAGCAGGGTGAGGGGCAGCTGCGCAAGGAGAGGGGACTCAGTTGTTAGAAGAAATCCAACAAGTAGAAAGAGTATTTTTTATTTCCAGGACTCCGTTTAGAGATTTTTCAATGACATCTAGAAACTGTGGAGTTTTTTTAATTTAAAGTAAGTCATTTAATGTAATCTGCCAACAAACTAGCTGTTATCATGAAAGATGACCATGCAAAGCTCTGTGGGAGTTACTGTGCTATTACAACAGGGCTCAGTGTATGTGAGGAGTCTTGTCTGTTCTTTCTGCTGATCTCGCAAATGTATTTGGGTCTGGTCCTGGATGGTGATTTTGATGTGAGATACCATCTCAGAAAGAAGCTGGACTGTTTAGAGACGATTTCTGCAAAATAAGGGTAGAAACACATCAAGCAAGAGAGATTGGTGTGATTTCACTAGTTCAGCAGCAAGAACTACGTTTGGTTTGGGTCCCTTTTCTGTCCCCACCTTTCACAGTTGCTAGTCTTGGGCTTGGCTGGATGCGCACTCAAAGTAAGCTGGGGATGGGCCCCTTGTATCCCTGCGGCTCAGTCCTTATGCCTAAACCCAGGCGTATTTACTGTTTCTCTGCCTCTTGCGCTGACGGTAGCTTTCATGTCTTGGCGCTGCAGCAGTTGGTGGGCAGGTGCTGTGAAGTGGTACGGTCTAAAGGAATCCCGCTATGGTGGGTCTTTTCATCACTGAGGGAAGTGGAAGCATACTGTTAACCCTGGGCAAACAGCAAAACTTGGGCTCATTCTTTTCTTAAGCTCCACTCATCTTTTAGGGAGGTGGGAAGAAGCTGAGATTTGTAGACAGAAGTTCCTTTTAAAATTGAGCTCCTTTCTGCATTTCCTTTTCCCAGGGGGGATAAAGCTACAGAGGTTTGCAGCAGCAACTCAGCCTAGTTGCTGTAATGATACGGTAATGTAATGACGAGAAGATAGCCTTGTGCTATCTAGACGGGTGATTAAAACTTTGGGTAGGAAGGCACAAAAGCTTTACAACAATCTCTCCTGACAGGCTACTAGCTTAGCTTACAGTGGTCGGAGCGCCCTCCATAATGTTTTCAGAACACTGTTCTGGCCAGCGGCCATCCGCCTGACCGAACTGGGTGATAGCGGGCCATTCTTCCAGCAAAACAGCTGCACTATTCAGAGACAGGCACGAGTCTGTTATTTTGGAATCTATTCCCCAAGTGTGGTGATGGGGGGAGCGGAAATGCCCATGCGCAGTGGTGGTGGGGGGCGAGAGGAGTGGTACAGTATCTGGTCAAAGCGCTGGTTTGCAGGGCGGCCTGCGGTGGTGTTCCCATCGCCGGGTGCGGTAGGAGTGGGTAAGGCTGGGTGCATACAGGCTGCAACATGCATTTACGTGTCAGACAGTGCCCTGCATGGGTGTGCTTTGGGCTTGTCAGCAGGAGCTACACGCAGCTCATCTTTTGCTGAGCGAATTTCACCATCGATCGTAGGCACAGGGTTACTTGTCTGTCCTTTTTGCCTCTCTTCCCACTGTTCCTTTCTTCCCTCCTCCCCGCCCCATATATCTTCGGCACTGTCTACAAGCCTTCTGCGCTCAGCCCCGTTTCTCCTGTTCTGTGTCAGTCTGTTTCTAATCTGCTGCTACTCCGTCTTTTCTCTCCCCTGCTCCCATTAGGATCTGTTTCAGGTACTGTCTCTCTCTTTTTTTAACCTCTTTACTCTCCCGTTTCCCTCCCTTTCTCTGCATTCAGCACATCCACTCATCCAACCTGTTCTGTCTGATCTGTCAGCCCTGTCTTTCTGTCTGTCCATCCTTCTTGCTCACACATTTCTCCCACGAGGTGAAGTTTTGGGTTGTGATCACCTGGCCCTAACTCAGATTAAATTCCCACTCACATACAGCGTGGACCTGGGCTCCAGACGCCTTGTTAAAGCCCTGGGCGTTTGCCCAGATGTGACTGGCAGGCAGTGGGTTATGACGTGCTCCTAGTAAACTGACTGTTTACTTTATTTCCAGTCTGGTGCTGCTCGTCATTCTCAATATGATGCTGTTCTACAAGCTCTGGATGTTGGAATATACTACGCAGACGCTCACGGCATGGCAGGGCTTGCGGCTACAAGAAAGGTACTGTCACATCTGCTTTGTCTTTGTCTTTGTCTCTTCTTGCATGCCTCCTATGGATGTTAGAGGCTTTCCCAGAACGCCAAAGCTCTGGGCTGTCTTGTCGATTGCTTCCTTTTTGTGTAAAACAGCTGAAGTAGTTAGGTAGCTGAAGCATTTCCAGATCTGAAACTGCTGAACAGTTGCAGCAGAAGACAGTGAGTTAAGGCAACCTCTGCTTCTTCCCAGCATCCGGTATAACAGAGGATGCTCTAGGAATAAATGTTTTGCAATCTTGGGCCAAGGTTGTCACCTCCCCTCCTTTGATAGCTAAACTTCCCTCTGTATGAAAAGCAGTGTCTTGGAAACCTTTGTACCCAGAGGGGAATTTGGGCCTGTGACACACAAGCAACTGTTTGGTGTGTGTTTTGAAAAGTGTGGGTCCAGATATCAGCAGGTTGTTAAGAAGAGTGTGGGAGGAAGAGAGAGAATACTAGGAGGGCAGAGGGAACTCCTGAACAACCTGATCGTTCCCTGGTGGTACTAGATGGTAAGCAGTGAAGCGTGATTTCAGATTGACTTAGTTTCTGTAATAATTGGTAGCGTGGAACTTTGTCCAAGGCTTTTTGGACATCCTGCTTCAGTATAGTGTCTGCTTAGCGTGTGCTGAGATGTACAGAGCTCTAGGCTGTATGGCAGCATCTCCCCATTTCCTTTTGCAGAAAGCACATCTGAAAGCCTCCAACCAGACTGAAGTTATTGTTGGGATTGGTCTTTGTTATTACATAAGACTCCCCCATCTTGTCTAGGGCCAAAGGCAGACCTGCCGGTCTGCGTTTCCCAGGATGTGCTCCAGAGCACCTTTTTGTAGATGGCATTTCCAGTGGTGACCTGACATCCCATAGTTGTTTGTTTATAATGATAGCCAGCAATTTTGTGTTTTGAATTCCTTCTTACAGTTTTAGGTGAATGTTTTTTTTATGTACATAAGTGCTAGGTATTCTGCCTGAATAGTCTCTACCCTATTTTCAGAGGTTGAGAGCATCCCCCATCCACTTTGCAAAGGTGTTTTTGTCCCCTTTCTGGCTGTACTTTTGTGTGGTCACAGCTGTTCCCTTGCTAAAAGCTGGGTTTGACTTTAAGCATCCATAGCTGAGTGCTACTGTTGCGATGACATTTTTTGCATGATTTGTCTCATGTTCTGGGCTTTCTCATTTCCCCTTACTAGGGAATGGAATTACTATTTTCCCCATAATAGCCCTGTGACTTTTCCATGGATAGACATTAAATGATTTTTGCCTGTTTCCCCCCCCCCCCGCCTTCTGGCACTCTTGTTTTTTATTTGGACCACTACAATATAGTATTGAAGTACAGGACTTACACACTGTTTGTATGCTTCTAGCAATGTGCGTGTGCTGGAATGATGCAGGTAACTCTATTCCGCCCCCCGGCACAAGTAACTTCATTGGGTTGCAACTGTGATTGCTGTGGAAAGTAGACTGAACCCCTCTGCTGGGTCAAAGGCCAGGCGTGCCCAGAAACATTCTGTTTGAGGCTCCAAAGCCATTTTTTCCATATCTAGTTCTACTGAGACTTAAGTTCTCTGTGGGCAGGGGCAGCGAGCAGTCCCTCAAACTAAGTGTACCAATCATGGTATGTATCATCATGTAGCAATCAAGCATGTAGCCTCTCCACTCAGACAAGGAAAGCAGTCTTTATTAGTAGCAGAGTGCTGTTTATTAGAGACTAGGCTTATTGACCATGAGGAGTGGGTCCTTCTTTTTAACTTGTGTTGGTGTTTTATTGTCATGCTTAATTAACATTTCTTTGTTTTATCTCCAGGTCTGGAGCCAGCTGAGCAGGACAGATGCAAGCCGTCAAGGCCCTGATGGCGGGCGGGCCTGGCGCCCCGGCCCTGCCACTCCGGGCCTCGGGCAGATGCCAGTGGTGAGCCAGGTGAGGAGGCGGAACCTGGCCAGGCCCAGGCCAGGATAAATCTCAGTCGAGGAGAGCGACGCAAGGAGCGTAGCGACGAGGAACGTAGTCAAGGCAGTTAGCGCGGCAGTTGGCGTCGGCAGGAAGGCGCGGCACTCTGCCCATCTGCTAAGGTAAGAGGGGAACAAGTTAGACTATTACATTTGCCAGGGAGAAAGGAGGAACTGAAGCAAGTTCTAGCTGCAGCTGAGCTCTCACTAACCCAGGGACTTACATAAAGCAGGCTTGAAAATCTCTACTGTAGCCTGAGAGGAGGGATTCAGCTATGTTAGAAACCAGCAGAGCCCAAAAAGGTAAGCAGAAGAGACTTGCCATGTTAGAGACCAGTGCAGCTTAGCTCCATCTTAACTGGGGGGACACGCCTTTTAGCTATGTTAGAAACCAGCAGAGCCCAAAAAGGTAAGCAGAAGAGACTTGCCATGTTAGAGACCAGTGCAGCTTAGCTCCATCTTAACTGGGGGGACACGCCTTTTAGCTATGTTAGAAACCAGCAGAGCCCAAAAAGGTAAGCAGAAGAGACTTGCCATGTTAGAGACCA